TAACCAAACACCCATACATGGAAGAGACAGTAGCACAACACAGCAGCACAGACACCTAGCGAACCACCAGGAAGCGGTGCCTACCTCAGCTTACAGGTAGGTTACCTACCTACCTAGCTTGGAGGAACGCTTGAAAGACACGGCACGGAAATAATAGGCGCCAGACCTGTTTACACTAATCATTGGATAAGCAGCCAGGGTACGTTATTGTTCAGGTGCAAAGTCGGCAGGCCGTCGCCCACTGTCTATCGAGCTTGAAATGAATATGGACAGCAAAAGATAGACTATGCGCCGAAAAATAGCCCGGCCATCATATCACACACAAGCTTCCAGCTCAGCTCTGCGTGGATGGGCTTCGGCGTCGGTCCCGAGTCGCCTCCGTAGACGGGCCCAGCACCGAGGCTGCGAGGTTGCAACCAGTTCGTTTTGAGCTTCCATTGCTTGCTCGCAGCTGGGAGAGGGGGGAGGAAAGGAAGCGCATAATATCAATCGACGTCGCAGTGTCGTCGGCGTCAGGATGGCTAGGCAAGGCGGCGCGCGCCGTTCGCTTGCATGGCACAGTCGGCGCCAGATTGACGTCCGAACCTTGACGCCGCACAGCGACCCCCAGCTCACCCCCCCGGCATCCCGGCTGGCCCCCCCAGATCCCAGCCACAGTCAAGCCGCAGGGGCCCCAGAGCGATCAGAATAGGCATAGCCGGATCTTGAAAAACACCCGAGAGGAGTGGGAGCTGGGAAAGAATGCCCCTGCGAGCCCCTGGTCTGTCCGTGGCAGGCCTGCTTCTGCTCCCAACGCCTGCCCCAAGAACCTGGGACTGTGTTTCCCAACTCAACACCAACACGCTCGACCCGCAGCTATGTAATTACAAAGGGTGTGAGTCCTAGGTCTGGTCTCTGCAGTCTGCACTGGCCTGGCTCTCCTGTCTGGAGTCCTGGATTCGGATTTGTTACTAGGTGCTGCTGCTGCTCACCGACCGATGCCACGCCGCGCCCAAGCAAAGGGCTCATCTCCCCCTCTCCCCGGACTGACAGGCTCGGCCAGACCTGGAAGAGGACCGGACAAGGCGACCTGTCGCCTCTTGCGTCGCTCGCCCGCATTGACATGTTGATTGTTGGTCGACATCCGCGCGTGCGAGCCATCGCGCTTGGGACACCTTCCACGCGTCAGGTGCGATGCCACCCTACTTGCTAACGGCAGTCCAGAGTCCGCCAAGACGGGCCGTTCTGCTCTGACTCTCTGAGCTCCCGCCGCCCTACTCTGCAGCTGGTGTTGTGCAACTGTCGTTCTGTACATACATACACCCTGTACAGAACAGTACCCGGCCGCGAGTGTGTGCTGAAAACGCAACTCTAGGGCTCCCTCCGCTCGTTCCGTCTTGACCCTCATAGCGCATAACTCCACATATGCGCTGTCCACCGGTAGTTGCAACAAGGTCCATGAAAACACCTTCTCCTTGCGGTACTCGCTCGGGCGCTGCTGTCGAGCCTTCATCCCAGGTCTTAGCTCGCCCACTCCCCCTCCTCCAGCCGCTTTTTAGTGTGGAGAGAGAAGTGTGGCTGGGGCCGTTCTTGGTGCTCGAATTGGGTAACATTTTTCTCTTCTTGATCGACACGGCGCTGGTGCTGGAAGGAACTTGTCAGGAGGAGAACACAGGCTCGGACGATCCCGGTTGTTGTGCCGATCTTCAAAGCCATGTCACAGTGCTCAGCCTCTGATTGACATGCCAGCAGGGCTCCCACGCGGCCGCCCCCCCCCCCCCCAGCTGTGGTTCTTGTTTCATCCCGCCGGCCAGAGACGGTCGTCTCTGCCTTCGGACGGAGGCCAGCAGGCTCGGGATGCGTCTACGGAGTAGTGCTCCCGTCTACACCTCCGCTCTCGTCCGCCGCCTGTGAGAGCGTCATTCCACCAGTCCAGCGTCTGCCAAACACCGAGTCCTGGACGAGTCAAGATCCGGGCTGGCCTAGCAAGAGCCGAGAGGTTGCGGTGCAGCCTGCAACTAATCGGCATGCAAGAGAGACTTGAAACTGCGGCTAATTGTCGCCCAAACCTCAACCCAGAGAGAGCTGGCTCCCCCGCCCTGGCTACCAATATCCGGTCACGGGTAATTAATCTGAAGGGGCTTCTCGAAATCTTCGAGGGAAAATCACGGAGGGACACGGTAGCAGTCGACCCCACGGCATGCAATCCACTGATTGTTAATATGCTAGAAATTTTCCGGTTCAAGCACCCAGTTTCGCCGTCCCATCTCTGTCCTCGGCCCCCATATATGCGATGATCTGAGGAGAGTGCGTTGCAGTCTGTTGATCCTCACTCAACTTCGGACGGACTGGCTCTTTTGAATTCTGCCTTTCTTGGTCGGTATCGAGAAACTCCGCCCTCGACGGACTGGCTCTTCAATGACATGACGCTGGCCCGCCTGTTGCTGAACGCCCCGGGCTCAGCGGCCATGGTTCCTCACCGCACCATCATGACCACGGTTTCAGCTTGCCACCGTCGGATACCTACCAAACTGCTCGAGACGGCAGATCGGGACAGCAGGGGCCCGCTCGATAGACGAGAGCCAGAACCCGGGTAAATGTTTGTTTGCCAGATTCGTCTGTCCCCATCATATAGAGTTGCCCTTCTTGGCTGACACGGGCTCGTGGTCGGCTTCATATCGGGACGTTGGAGCCAGGGCCACTGGTGAAGGCGGGCACTCGTGGTTGCATCATTTAATATGCGCCGTCTAATATGAGGTCCTCCAGGTTCCTGGAAAGACAGAGTTTTCTTGCTGCCCCCGCCAGAGCCTGCGCGGGAATTGTTCCAAGCGAATGCCTCATCCCGCCCGAGACCGGCTCCTCAACCGGGAATGGCTTGATTGCTTTACAGCCGCTTGGCGTAATTGTTAAAGGGTCCTTTCCGGTTTGGAGAGGACTCGATCTGCAACGTTACCTGTTACTCGAGCGAAAAGACCCTATTTGCACGCAATCCCAATCCAGCACGACCAGCTTGCCCCCGACGTTCCCCGTTTACTGGGACCGACCAGACAAAGAACAAGGCTGTCTCCATCCCAATATACAGCAATTACCCTCCCTGCAGACCATTGCCTCCCCAAGTGCCGCTCTATGGCTCCAACCGGTAGCTTTCTGTGCTGTGGGGTTTTCTGGCGCCACCAGGACAAGCAGGCTGATGTCGTGATGTGTCACGATGCATAACTTGCTTGGATTTGGAGAGTGTCGTCGATTTCTGTGGGTATAAACGTCTTCTTTGGATCGCGCGCGGCGGATGGGACGACTGTCTAGAGGCTGCCGGCGTTTACTTGGGCGCCCCTGAGGGCGTGTCTGCAGGGCTTACATTTGCCGGTCCCCGACCTCGACACCGACATATCGCCATCCGGCCGGGAAAAATGAGCCTGGAACACAGATTTGCTTATCAGCTCCGTCGTGTCAGTTCTGTCTCACGAGAACTTGCTAACCGCAAAACAGGGCCTGACCTGGGCATCATTTACCCTGCTTGTTGCGCGGTACTTGCCTTCCCGGAACACCATACATGGCTTTTTGCTCTAAACTCACTCTTGGTGTTGATGTGGAATTCGCAATGCCCTCTGCTGAGCCGCTCTGTCGCTTTTCACTGCTGAACCGGGAACTCAGGAGGCCGCCGCTACCGAACGGCGCAGCTTGTGGCCCGCGTCCTGAGAATCGAGCCCAGTGTGTTTGCTGCCAACTGCTTCCACCCAGCTGGGTAGCTTCACTTGCTCGTACAGTTCCGATAAGTGTCGATGTGTTGTCTTTGAAATGGGGTATAGTTCTCGCCACCATCAATGCCGACTGAGAAGCTCCTTGGGGATTGATTTCTCGTGGTTGATGGTTCCTCGGTCAGCTCGGAGACCACGGCCTGCTTGAGCTCGGAGGCAAAGCAATCACTAGCAGCTTTCCCGTCTTGCTGTCGGCTATAGCTCGCCCCCTCCTTGTTGCTGCTTTTTTTTCTCCGGCACAGTGCATGAGAAAGTATAATGGGTGATATGTGTGATATCATAGGTTTCTGGATCAGTTGATTGGCCTGTGTCTCGAGTACATACACATGTGCATACAAACACGCAAGTCACCTACCTAACTATCATACCTCGGCTAGGCTTAAGTGGCAAGTTTCCTTTCACTCTTCGTATCATTTCTGGTTCGGGTGGCTTGTTTTGGTTTTGTTGTCGTCGGACAAGCAGCCCCACGGCACTCCCCAAACTTGGCTACCTACCTAGTCAGCTAGCTACGAGGAACAGCCTAGGTGACTGAACGCCTCTGCAGTCGCCATTCCCGTTGGCCACTTATGGGCAGGGAAGACCAAGGCCGGTATGAAGACGGGCATGATGCCGATAGATGGGGGGGCTTAGGCCCAACGTGGCGGGGAAAGCCGCGTAACAAAAAACGGGCATTGTCGTTGACGTAGTGTCTCGATACATGTACCAAGTGCTATTGCGTGGTGTACATGTGTGTGACCTGGTGGCAGGCCAGCCGGTGGCGGCTGTAGCTACCTACCATTATTATTACACTCTCACTCCCTCCCTCCCGGAACTGGGGAGCGGCATGGTCGCATTACCTCCGAAGCCCGTGTCGCTTGCCGGTTTGCGGGGGAGGACAAAGAATGCCTGTCCGAACCCGGTGGGCTGGGTTTTTTTTTGTCTTCGATATCTAAGTTTGGGGGTGTCCGGGGCAGGGCGTTCAAGCATACGCCTTTCTGCCTGGCTCTTGTACTTCCATGCCTCTCTTGAGCTGCCTTGGCTGTGTTGCAGTGTTTCGCCTGCAAGGCTGATACCGCGTGCGGGCGTTGTTGTTGTTGTTATTGGTTTAATAGGGGTAAGGTACCTCCAGGCTGGTTGATTTGCGTGCTGATTGACTGTACCTAGGTACCTTACCAATTGTCCAGCAAAAAAAGGATGAGTACCTGTGTAATGCATGCAGCCAGCCCATGAGGTGAAATCAACGGATGCAAAAAAAAAGGAAAACAGAAAGTTGTTTTTCTTAGGCCATGCATCAGCCGTGAATCGAACACGGGGCCCATCGATGGCAACAATGGATTTTACCACTAAACCACTGATGCTTGCTTGCTTGCCTACCGCAGAAACCGAGATGTTGAGAGAATGGGGCCGTAATGGGGTATACTTGATAGTTGGCTCCACAGTTCGGTCTTTTTTGTTTTTTTTTATTTGAGGAAGTCAGCTCGGACTGTCCTTGATTGGCCACAGGCTTGTAATCTTTTCTCATTTCTCTCTTTGCGATAGTACAGGCGTGTGACGAGAAGGTTTACGTTTGTTCTAGGTCCTATGGGTACCTAGCAAACTCATTTATCACCCTAGGTAGGTACTCTGTCGGTTGATTTCTTTGGCAGAAAGGGGAATTATTGGACAACGTACAATTCAGGAAGGGGACGGATTAAGAAATGTTTTATGAAAAAAAAAAGGTGAAAGTCTTCGTCCTTCGTAGCCTATGCTTTAGTGCTATGGTAGCGGGCTAAGTCCGGGAGACGCAACAGCCTTGGATCTTTATAGGCGTTTTTGTCCCTTTGTGCCACTCATTACTGCGTGTTCTTGACTTGGAGTTAGCATGGTGTGTCTACCTGCTCAACTAGAGGTTGACATGGAACACCCACGGCTGGAGTGGACGAGGCATTCAGCTCACAGGGATCCACCTAAGTCAGTCAAGCAAGTTTGTTGAAGGATTGTGTCTGCCTCTGGTGTGAAATTTACATACACATCGTCCAATCACTCTCAGCATGTCTGGGTTTATCTCCACCACACTCGACTCTCCTGTTCACAGTAATACCAGAGAGAACGATCTGGAGTCCATGATTTATGTTATAGTCAGTTGTGTTTGCCAACTATAGAATATCTGTAACTTCCAGCACAGATAACTGAGCACATATATTTATTCGGTCGGCTACTCTAAGAGCGACTTCCACAAGTTAGATCTACCACGAAAGTGAGATGGTTCATACCCTTCACCTCGCACACACACAGATAGCGGAGCACATTATGAGCCTCAACTGAATCTTTCTATCGTGTATGTATTATTTCGTCTGCTCAAGGAGGCTCTTCTACTCAAGGAGGGACTTCCAGTCAGATTTATCACGAAGTGAAATGGCTTATACCCATCAATCACCACGCACGCACTAAAAGTGGACACAGGAATTTGCCGCGGTACAGCCAAAAAAGTCAAACAATTGAACGGCACCGACAGAGTCATACCGGCCGTTCTGTCGTGTATGGTGACGCGTAGAAGGCATATCATGACATAGCTCAGCTACCGTCCAGGAGTGCCTTTATGGGTGTAGAATACCTAAACAACCGTAGCTCTGGCTTAGTTGTAGCTTCGGTGCCAGAGCTTATAACAGTGAGAGATACCTATTCGCGAAGAAGCCTTGGTGCGAGAGTATTCCCTGACTGGATCAGTGCCGCCTGCGGACAAAGCTGAGTCCCTACCGATTCAGCTTGTTAGAATCTAGCCTGTCCTCATAAGACCCGGGGTGAGACCAGGCCAAGGAACATGGGAGTGACATATATTCATCTAGCCCGGGCACTACCGACGAGGCATCGATCTACCTACTTAGCTGCTCCTTATGAGGGGCAACACGAGTCTACCAACACACATGCGGCAGCTCGATAAACAGAGCGTAAATGATTCACTTTGACTCGCCTAGGCTTGAATAACTAGTTTGGAAGGTACACAAAAAGAAAGGGAGGCTGAAATAAAAAACGCTGGCCCAACCGGCACACACACCACCATACTCCTGTCTTCGGACTGTAGGCTGACCACAACTCAACGCACAGAACTCACAACCCTAGAACCAAGACCGCCAGACCTTGCACGAACAAATCCCGAGCTCCAAGTAGCTATACGACACGAACCTAAATAGCATAAAACAGAAAGTGAGACAAATAGTGGATGCCTGATCACTGAACCCTTTCCTAGAGATCAAGGCTAATAATGCCATCATGTGTATACACTCGATGGCGGACGGCCTAGAGAGGAGGCTACCGTGGTAAAGTTTATAAGAAAGAAAGAAAGAAAGAAAGAAAGAAAGAAAGAAAGCAAAGATGAAAGCACGGCAAGTAGAACAGACCTGCCCCTGCAACTACTCAACTCAACCACAGACGAAAGAAAGCACAACAAGCTCTCACTCACAAACACAGTTGGGCGTTTCATATTCGTTATTATTCAATTCATTGAATAGCGACGCTAGCCGCAGCATAATGTTACATGTCCCTATCTTTGAAGAAAAAAGAAGGGAAAAAGGGTTGATAGTAAAATGTATGTACACGAAAGTTAAGTAGTAGAATATCATCAAAATGTCAAACGGCCGGCAAGTCCGTCTCTCTTGCAAAGGCCAGCTGGAGTTGCTACATTTTGCAACACTCCAGAGACAAAAAGCCAAACTTTTAATATCCGGACCCTCCCCTCCGATATCGAGGGGGTCAAATATGCCCTCAAAAACGCCAGCCCTAAATCCAAGTAAAACATCCTTCGGAGAGACCGTCTACTCGTTCGCTTGTCCCGTGAACAAGGGCTCCCCATATGGATCGCACGCGGTTTCTTGCTTTGGAAATCCGGTTTGATGTCTCCTCCGTCGGCCATAAACAGCGTCTTTCCCAGACCGAAAGTCCAAAAAATCCGTAAACATGTTCAAGTGAAATTCGAAACATATTAAAGGTAGGTATGTAAGATCAAGGGCAAATCGTATGAACAATTGTGGCCAAGAAAAGGACAAAGCCCGCCGCTGGCCATATTAGTCAGGGCGGGAGGGACCCAAAATAAAATAGGTGGTGCCTGTTTCGAGGCGAGAAGGGGTATCGATTGTTGAGTGAAACCATGAAAATATCCCAAAGTATGTGCGTAGGACTCCTCGCCCCGGCGGGGCTTCGAAGGTCCTGAACGCTGTCGAAAATTAATTCAATAAAAAAAAAAAGTGGCGACGGATAGATTTTGCCGACCTGTGCAAACAGGAAAAGGATATTCAGTTTGGCTGTGCTTAGAGAAGCCACTGCAGCATGGCCAGAAGGGGTACTGTCATGTACAACCACGCGGGTGAGGCAGCTGGCCGGCCTGGGGCGAAGGAAGTGCTGGCAGCGACAAGCTGGTCGGCGAGTGTCTCATTGACGAAACCCGGCCCACATATTGTGTTGACTTGCTTAGCAGCCGCGACATAATTGTTAACCACAGGCTGCTGTCGGTTGGCCGTGGCAGCGTGGTAGACTTCCATGGTCTGCTGGGTACAGGCACCGCAGGTCGGGAGGGTGGAGCCCGGGAGAGACATGTTGAGAGGTAGGAAGTAGAAATACGTATTTGTAAAGTTGGTGGTATTTCGGACAGCAGTCGCAAAACAGTACGCAGACGTCTGCGGATCCTTGAGACAGCCAGCGCTGTACAGCGGTGCGTAGGCTATCATGGCTAGGTGGGCCTGTATGACCACCGAGTTTCCTAGATTGTAGTCGTTGCCACAGTGCTGGGTGGATGTGAGGTTCTGGGCAAGACCCGAAAGGTACGTGTTGCAAAACGTGGCATTGGGCCGGCATGTCGCATCTAGAGTCTGTGTGATACCTACGAGCGACTTTTCCGCGTCGAAGAACGACTTGGACCCCTGAAAAAGAAACCCGATTAGCTGAGAGACAATAGGGACCGGCTGTAGGACCGACTCACTTGGAGTAATAGTGACAGCGGGTAGCACTGCTTGAATGTCGGATCCGTTAGAAACGAGTTGATGAATATTGCGCACGTGCTTGGGGTGTTGTCGGCGTTGGGCGTGAAGTTTGCCGACAAGGCGCCGTCGAGCGGACTGGGAAGCGCGCTCAACGGGGCAGTGTTCGTGACGTCTGGTGTCACGGTCGACACGGCAATCTCGAACGTGGTGGTGAATACCTGAGGCGTGGTGCTGGTAGTGGCGCGCTTTCCGAGGCGGTGCAGCTCGACCTCTTCAGGGCTCAGCATATTCCAGCTTTGGCCAATGCGGTACGGCACCCTCGTGTCGATGACCAAAGTCTCGAGAGGTTCAGCGGCGTCAGCCGTGAGGGCCAGGGCGTGGCAGACGAGGCAGGCCAGGATGGCGAGCACAGCGGTCCATGACGTCCGAGGTTGGCGGGAAACCGACCGAGAGGGAGAGAGCACGGCGGAGACCCTACGATCTGGGGAGAGCGGGAGCGGGATAGCAGAAGCCATCATATCGCGGCGGGGAGTGTCTGGCGTCGAGGTTGGTGCAACATCACTGTGCAACAATCCGAGGAAACGAGTGACTGGGTACCCGACCGGCTGGGTCAGTGAGGTCTGGGGGGGAGCGGATTGACGTCGTCGTCGGACGGCGGCGGGCTCGAGTGTCTCGTCTCAGTGGGAGGTGTCGCAGGAAGCCGAAGGCGACGTCACGGCCCCTTGGTCCCTCTATATCTCGCGAAGCGGCTGAGCCCGGCGGCTTTGGCGGTGGGTGCCCCGAGTACTGAACACACACGCTATGGCTCTCCAGACGCCTGCCTACCTAAGGTAATGTGCAGGACTGCCAGGTGACGGAGCAGAGCCTGCGTAGTAGCGTCGTGTCGATGTCGTTGTCGACGCGGGCCCGACTCATTCGGCGGGTGGACCAATATGGGCTGACGGGTAAATAAGGGAGCTGCCGTGCGAGGGCGGACGCTGACACCAATGAGACAAGGTTGCCTCGACGAAGACGAATTTGCGCAACAATGCCGCCGCTCGCTGTTTTGGGTGCTGCAGAGGAAGAAAGAGACGCCGTGGGGATTCGTGTGCCCCCCTGCTGCGGCCCCTTTCTTTGTTTGTTGCCCGGCCCAGGCTTTCTCTTCGGGATCCTTCGATGGAAGTTGAGACTCACGACGTCGGGTCCCGGTGTAAGTCGATGTGGACGGGAGTTCGAGAAGGCGCGAAGATCAGCGGTCCCCCGAGGGGAAACGAGCGGGAGATGATCGGTTTTGTCATGCAGCGGCTGGGGGCGCTGCTTGGCTGGGGCGGCAGGCTGCCCTTGGCTGTCCTGGCCTGGCCTGCCCCCAAAGTGCCCAGGTCCTTCCAGCCCTTTGGAGGAGGTGGAGTTGAGGGTGGGGGCAGTCA